CATTCAAATAAATTTTTATCCACATGAAGTTCAGAAAAAATACCAGTCATTCTAAAGAGGTTATGATGCCAAATGTGACATTTATTAAAGGCCTTTTCCTCATTTTTCTCTTTTATGAGCACTTCCTAACTTATTTAAAAAATGCCAGTGATTCCTCTTAAGTTCAAAACTTTCATTTGCCAGAATCATACATTATTTATCCATTCAGAAATATCACAGTGACATACGTTTCCAGTACATTACCTTATCAAGGGGTGCAAGTCACTTAGAAGACAAAATCTTTAGTGTTGCTGTATGTTGACCTTATTTTAAAGGGGGCTGATGAATCCCTCCTTGAGAAAAGCCCTCTGAATGGTACAGAAACATAAGAACAGCCCCAACACTGGTATTATCTAAGCAGAAAGCTCAGAGAAGATGCAGGTGAATTCAGTGAGCACAGGAGACATCTACACAGTGACTGCTCCTGTGGGACAGCTCAATGAATTGCCTCTTTCTCTGGAGTTCCCCTAGGAGGGACCAAGCCTTTACACAGCCCCTTACTCAAATCCATGGCCAAGAAAGTGCAAGCTTGCCTTGGGGTCTGTGTCGGCATAGGCTAAGCTGCTGGGCAGGGCTGTGCAGGTCCACCCAGGTAGATCAGACTAAGGCCACTCCAACTGTGTACCACATTCTGCACCTATTTTGAAAATATTGGCAATTGTATGTAACATTAAACTTCCTTGGGTTTTTTTCAGGATTTCCTCCTTACACCCCCAGTTCCCATACTGGAATCAATTTTCTTTGTTACCAGTCTTTGAGTTTAGGGGTGAAAGGATGAACACTGGTCTTTGTTGTTGGGTTTGCTTGGTTACTTGAGAGTTGCACCGACCTGTCTCTCTGTATGCACTTCATTTGTAATACTACCTGACATAACTGTTGGGACAGAGAAGCAGCACAGACCTGTGACCACCAGGTTATTAAACCAACCAAAGTCTTTTAGGTGGTTAGAAGGAGAAAAGGACTACCAAAGAGGGAGCCAATGTGTGAAAATACATCCAGTAAGAGTGGAGATTTTTTAGAAAAAATAGGTACATATGCTCATCACCTGTGACTGACTTACAAGTTTCTTGTGGTGGATGGTTAATGCAGATATAATTTGGTGAACAACACAGCTGACAGAGTCTGGATTCCTGCACATTTGTGATACAACTGATCTATTAGTCAGCTATAAAGGACAAAGGCTGACTGAAGTTTTCCCTGCAGCTGGGATGTTCACTATATTTCCCTCTTGCTCAGAGTCTGGTCTCTATAACGGATCGAGTTTTTGTCTCAGTGGACTCTCTAGAAAGGTTCTGTATATAACTATTTTATTCAAACTTTGAGGAAATTAGTATCTCTCAGATCTTTTCCCCCCTGCCAGCTATGGCTGAAATTGGCTGGGGCTTCCAAAGTTATTAAGGAGTCTCCAAAGTTATTAAAGAGAGAGGGGCATGAACACGGTAATTGCATAAACTGCTGCATGAAGAAAACCAAAGATCATAATCATGGCCCAGAATGAAGAGATGGTTTTCTGTCCCAGTGGATAGAGGGTAACATTCAAGGAATATGTTTGTCATGCAAAATTACCCTTTTCAGTCATACTTATATGAGGCACAGAACCAGCTGGGTTCCATGCCTTCAGCAGCAATATCAATGTAACATAGCAGGGCACTTACTCCTTTTGGCATGCAGTAAGTGCATCCTGCCAGTTACGTTTGGCAGCTGCCACTGGATTCATCCTTGCCAAAGAATAACAGACAACCTGACTCAGGGAATTGCTGGTGGGACATAGTGACTTCTGCCTTTAGGTGACCTGAGCAAAGCAGGTCTACAGTTTGCTTCTTGTTGGCTCACAAAGCACTTGAGCAACATGCAGATCATGAGCTATTCATTCAAGTACAATTCTCAGTCTAGATGATATTACATGGCCAGAAGCAGGGTTGTGCTGGCATCAAGGCTGCTAGCTATGCTAAAGTTCAAGGTGTGAAAACAGGTGAGTCAGTGGGAGCAGTGCAGCAAATCTAGTTTGTACTGCAATAGAGCAGTGGGAACCTGCAGGGAGACACTTCCTTCCTCTGCCTGAGAACTATCAGGGAGATCAGGAGGTAACTGGTAACTGATCTAGTGTCTTTCAAACTTGTGAAACATCTGGAAGGAAAACTAGGGTATCAATTAAGTGGTACTATAGTATCAATTAAGTGGTACTCTCACAGGTGGTAATAGTCCCATAAAAGTCATCAGCATTAATTACATGAATAAGAATCAATTATTTTAATTCAACAGTTTAAAAAGTACTACTCCAGAGTGAAGTGTGCTGGTGGCCACTCATTTTCGTCCATCCTCAAGATGGTTAGCTCTTCCAGCAAACTGCTTGCTCTCCCTCATTCACCGTAGGCAAGGTGATTGTGACTAGCTTAAATGGTACAACTGTCTGTTCAAGCAAACACAATGTGCAGCAAAATGTGGATGTTCACATGAATTCCTCCTTGGCAGAAGCCAGGAGCTGTTCTAGAGAAAAGCAGTTGCAGAAGCTATACAAACAGCAATATCCAGCATTGCTGGACCCAAAAGAGGATGCTTACCCAAATGAAAACATAAGGCCAGAAGGAAACACCTGAGTTATCGAGTGTCCCCTGAGATCTCAGACAGTGCATTGTATAATCTCTTGCATATATGCATTGAGCTCCCCCTATTCCCAACAGAGTTTTTTCCTGAAATTGAATGTTTCATGATAATGTGCAAGTGCTGAACAATCAGCTACTAAAAATGTTCATTTAAGAGTCTGTATTAAATTATGATGATGAAGAGGTCACGTAAGATTTGTTATCATGATTTTTAAACTGTCATTCAGGTGGTTTCTAATCTAGGACAAAAGTGATCGAGTAGGAAATCATCCATAAATTTAAAATAATTACTCTCGCTATGTTGCAAAAATTTAGTAGCAGATTGCTGTAAACCCTTAAAGATCAAAGAGGTAGAGATAAGGCCTCAAAAAACAGTCTGTAAATTTGTAATCATATATCCTTACAAAGCCATTTAGCAGTACAGAAAAATAGACATTGCTCACTAAAAGGGGCAAATTAATCAGACAGCATTAATCCTAGTACTGTAGTTGTTAATGCAGTTTAATCTCTATAGCCATGCTCCTGGTTACAGGGTACAGTATTTTTACCCTTTTTTTAGAGGCCAATTTGCTAGTACTGGTTTTAATGAAGACTATATATTAAACCATAAACAAGGTGGATCAGGTCCCAGCCAAGTGTCAGGGAAGTCTGATAAAATTTCTTGCAACAGAAAAGAAAGTGGACCTAGCTGAAATGTCTTCCATTAAAGTACTTAAAATTACAGGCTAGCATTTTCCAAGCAGTGTCAAATAAACTTGGAGCTTAGAACCTCATGAGAGTTAACTGGAATTCAGGTGTCTGTCTATTTTTGGCAGAAGGAAAAGGAAAATTGGACAAATCAATACCTTAGCAACATTGACATCATAAATTTGAATATTTTTAAAATGCTATTCCATTGTGAATGAGATTCAATGCTTTGAAAATCAGGGGAAAAAGGAAAAAAGAAAGTGAAAATTACGCAATACTACAAGACGTATTTGTATAGTCCATCCTATGTGTCTGATGTAATACACTAAACATGAGAACCACTGTTTCCATCTATCATTCTCATAAATTAAGATAAAATAGTTCATCTGCAAAATGAAATGCAATCTCAATCTGGATCCCAAGGCCCAAATGTGACAGAAAAAAAGAATTAGACAGACTTACTAGCAGACTTACTACAGTCTGATGAGTCATGCTGGTTAAGTGGTAGCTGTAAGAAATCATATATTATTTTATCCATCCATTCATCTGTTCCATGTATAAATAAAGCATGTAATCTCTTTAAATAGATCTTTATAGTCTATTGCTTTCCAGAGGCTCTAAAACAAGCAATGACAAAAAAGCAAGTATGAAAATAAGACTGTCTTTACTTATGTGTTCCCCTAATAAAATTATAAAACACTGTACAAATCCAGAAAACACTGTGAAATAATTTATTCTGACTTCTTTGAAAGTGATGGGATGTTTGGCCACTATTTTCAGCAACAGCAAGCCAGGACATTTTCTTATAGTGAATCTGATCCCCGTAATTAATTACTGGGGTGTATTATTACTACCTTGATCTGACTGTACTATTTTACGCAGATAGAAATTCTGTGACTCCATCAATAAGATATAGAAACACAGACAATATGAGATTCATCTCATCTTAGATCCATTAATTTAGGAATCTACAATTTATGTGAATACTACAAACTAGTCATCCAGGTTCCAGCTATAATGAATGCAAAAATCAGATCTTCCAAAGATGGTGAGTGCCACCTATTTCAGAAAGGATGGGTTGTTCCTGCCTCCAGGTGCCTCCTTCAGCTCTCCTAGCAGTTGTACAGCTTCAGGCTACAGACCCTTAAATTTAGGTGCCCATCTTTTATGGAACAAAGGGATCTCCAGGCCTAGATTTAGTTTCCTAAAGACAGGTAGATAATTAGTGCTGGATGAACTCTCCTGCTCTACCAAGATAGATGCAATAGATATAAAACAGGAACATGTAATGGTTATACTCTTCTGGACCAGCAGGTAGAGGTCAGGTGAGGTGAGCTAGGACATCCCAGCTGCCACTTGTTTGGGGGCATCTGAACCAAAGGCTAGAGCTTCATTAGTTAAAATACACACTTAGGAATGTATTTCCCATATAGATACCAATGCATGAAGATACATCTTCATCCGCATTCTGCATCTTACTTTAGGGTCCAGTGTCTTTCAACTCTGTGCAGATACCTCATATAACCTCAGGCACCTCAACTAGGCCTAGACACCTGTGATAGTTTCAGTCTAGGCCTTCCTGGAGACCAGCTTGTAACCAGGGAAGTACTCCATGCTCCCAGTATTCCATGCTATCCTTTATGTAATCAGAGGTACAAATGAGAAAGGAAGAGAAGCCTTTGCTCTCTTCTCTTCCAGTGAGGTTCGGGAACAGAAAGTCACCACATTGGTCTCACTTATCTGGAAGCTGAGGCCTGCAGCCACTGCTGTTGCCTGCCATGTGGGAGGTGGAGAGATTTGACTGTGTCTGGCAACCCATGCTTTCCTTGAGGGATGTGGTGAGATTTCATTTTGCTAGTTCTTTATTTTGTTAGTTCCTGGGTTTTGATTGTGCATATCCGGTTTGGTTTTGTCCATTTTTGTCCCTTATCCCTTTTCCCCTTTTCTGTTTCCTTTTTTTTTTGGGGGGGTTGTACAAAGCATTCTCACTGTATATAACTGTGATATATGTAATATATATATATATATTTTGGTATAATTTGCTTGGTTTTGGTTTCTTTCAGTTTCTACAGTTTTTCTTTCCTTTGCCCAAAAGGGGAGGGGAGGGAAAAGGCTTTTGCTAAGTTTTGGAGACCTGGCAGGAAGCCAGCTCGAAACTTGGTCAACACCCATGTGCAGGCAACTAAACAGAGCCTTCCGTATCTGGTTGCAGAGATTTCCTCCCAGGCTTATCAGTAAAATGTGAGGCACACCTCTGGAACAGAAGAGGTTATAAACGGTGTGACTGCACTGGCATAGCGATCCTGTTTGAGGTACTTGTATTGCCAGCACTTTGCAAAATGTAATTACATCATATCCATCTGCTTTAGCAGAAAATCAGGGGACCACTACTGTGCTGTGAAGGACAGTCCTACATCTTTAGTCGTTCTGAGATATCGGTGTTAAGTGACCTGTCTTCTAATCAAGGATGCGATGATACTGCATTTCACGCATAAAATCCAAGTGTACAAATTCATTCAACTGTCTTTAATTTGAAATATGGGCATTAGCAGTTGTACAATTTGACAGACCGATCATTTTTATGATGTGTCTCTTGGTATGGCCAATATTTTATCTCTTCATCACCTGCACTTAAATCTTCCTTGCCTTTGGATGCTGTGTGTGTGAAATGTGTAATAAAGAAACAGAATTACCTCTCACCCCTGGAGAAGGTGATCCCTGCGAATCAGCACAGTGGCTATTGGCAGGCAGTACACATCATTTGCATTGTGGCTGCCTGTACCCTGCTTGACCTACATATGAATACTGCAATTCACCTAATCCCTACTGCTTGCCCAAAAAAACTCCAGTATAGAAAAGTATGATAATTGCTGCTGCTGCCTGTCACAGGCATAGCATCATACCATAGTATTCGTGAGAGCTTATGCAAAATGGTGCTCAACTGGCAGGAAAATTAAAGAGTTAATAAATTCAGACCCATTATTTTTCACTAACCGAACATGTAGGAAATAAAGGAGAGTTTTTCTTTTGGCAATAAATTAGCTCCCACCCTTCTTTTGTTTGTTATTACAGTCATGGTTCAAAGCCCTCTACAAAAACAAGGTCCCACTTTATTATAGGACAGTCAGGTTCAGAGCACAGCTTGCAATAAAGAAATTAGCAAACCAGAAGCTGCAATTCTGTAGAAACACTCAAAACCGAAGAGGATTTAAAGTGACAAGATCCAATTAAATTTAATTACCCAAGCTGTATTTTCATTTTAACTGACACTTTTTATTAGGGAGCCACATGCACTAAAGCTAGAAACCTGGGCCAAATTGCATCCCAGTAATACAGTTATCTTATGCAAAATTCTGAGTATCTAATTTTCTAAAATGAAATTAGAGACATGGGGTTTGTAAAAGGTTCTCTTTGTCTGATACTATAAGATGCTGTTTGCAATGTACCTAAACTACTGTATATCTATGCTACAGTAACACCTGATGTACCTAATAAAACTGATTATTGGGAAAAGGTTTTAGCACACCTTTATTATTTTTTAATATGGAAGTATTCAGTATAAATCAGAGGTTTAATCACTTCAGTATAAATCAGAGACTAAACAGCAAGGTTCAATTCAAATCTAAAACTCTTGAAAACTGAAGCATAAAATATGATTTTGACAAGAGAAAGTTATTTATGAATCTTTTAATTTTAGAATTAAACAGGCATATAAAGCTGGACCAAATGATTATTTTATCATCACCTTATTTGTTCCCGTGGCAGAAAAGAGCAAAGAAGGGCTGCAGAGAACAAACCACTGTGAGACTTACACTTAGGAGTTCTTTCCATGCCTCTGATTTTAAACAATACATTGCAAAAATTTTGAAATAAAAAAATTGAAAAACACCAGGTGAATCACTGAACAATTGATAAGAAAACAAGAGAAGGGATACATTTATTTAAGAAGGCCAAGTCAGTGGGAACAGCCTAGCTTGAGACCTTTAGCATGAGGATTTAAGAAATGCATGAGACTGTGCAGTGATCCTTCCGTCCTGAAGGTTGAATAGGATGTGCCAATGCCTTTGGTGGCTGTGAGTGGGAATATCACTGGTGTCAGGACCTCAGTGCCCACATCATGCCTGCTGGCAGCCCTCACAAGAAGTAGGATTAGCACTCCCCTAGGAGCAGGATAAAGAATGAGTGCACACTGTCTCCCTTTCTTGGCTGGACCATAATTCTCCCATGAGTATAGCAACAGTCCTGCTGAGTCCCACAGGAGACCTGCACTGCTGTGCTCCCTCCAGCCATTCTTCACAGCCTCTCAGGCTTGTAGGGATGAGAGCCTCTCCTGCCAGCAGCAACAAGAGGCTGAAGGGCTGTTGCAAGGAGGCCAGGACCAACCACAAGCTTCCTTTTTTTTTGCCTGGAGGAGAGGAGAGATGCTGAGGTGTCAGGCTTCAGAGGGAAAGTGCTTCCCCACATGAGCTGTCTCCTTTACAGGTATGCACACAGCATTACCAACAGCATTACCACAAACTGCATTTGAGAAAGTGAAGTTGGCTCCCTTTTCTGTCAAGTACTGCTTCTAAACATCTCAGGTTTCTAAGCAGAAGAGGGCTGTGGCTACCAAAGGCTCTGTTTTGGTATAGGAGAAAGGAGAGAAAGAGACTGGGATAGAGTCCCAGACTTTTATTTGCAAAGTGTGAAAATAAAGAATGCAATTACCTCATGGGAGTGAATTCAGAGCCAAAAAATTATCTGTAATCTATTTAGAGAGGGGAATTAGGTGCAGCCACAGTCGCGTGGTTCTCCACGCAAAGTTTCTCTATCATTCCCCTTTGTAACTTTTCAGCTTAATTTCCTGTGAAGACAGTAAAGAATGTGGGTATTAACACCTACCAGAACAAACACGGTGGCAGACCTGTTGGAGTGGCTCCAGAGGAGTGCTGCAAAAATGATCACAGGGCTGGAGCACCTCTCCTATGAAGACAGGCTGAGAGAGTTGGGGTTGTTCAGCCCGGAGGAGAGAAGTCTCTGGGGACACCTTATAGCAGCTTTCCAGTACCTAACAGGGGCCTACATGAAAGCTGCAGAGGGAGTTTTAAAAGAGCATGTACTGATAAAAAAAGGGAGAATGGCTTCAGACTAAAAGAGGGTAAGTTTAGATTAGATATAAGGAAAAAATTCTTTACTGTGAGGGTGTTGAGGCACTGGAAGAGGTTGCCCATAGTTGCAGATGTCCCATCCCTGGAAGTGTTCAATACCAGACTGTACAGGGCTTTGAGCAACCTGGTCTAATGGAAGGTATGATTCTACTAATATCTTAGCACTCTCCTCTACCCACATTAGGCCAGAAGAGTAGAGCTACCACAAGAATTGGGTCATTTATTTACCAACTTTCTACTTAATAACACATTTGAAAAAAAAAAACATTGCCATGCACATCCTCTCCCAAAATTGAATAGCTTCCTTGAGGTAGTACCATATGAATATATTACAGGAATTAGAATGTAAATGCTTCATACCATCACTTTTATTTGGAGGTGTCACCCTGGCTAATTGCGTGCCCCTATCCACATTAGCAGAAAACCTGGTGGTGAAGTGGGTCATATTTGAGGTAAACTCATAATCTGTTACAGGAAATTTTATCCAGTGAAGGAGGCTGGACCAAAGGGAAAAATAGGGCCATAAAGCAAACAAATCCCAATTTTCATGAGGTACGCTGGCTCTATTCCCATACTGGAATTTTAAATGTTCAGACCTGAGATTGACATTCCTTCGAGGAAAACGAAATCTATGTGCTCATATATTCCAAAAGTAGGAGTATTCACAGCTAACTTAATGAATACCTTCCTCTGGTAATAGAAATACAATGATGGCCAGAAAGTATTCAACAAAGAGCCACCAAGCTCACACAGGTAAGTTAGGCCAGTTACTGCAGTTGATTGCACCAAGGGGACCACGCAGTTAGCATCCTTTCTGGCTGTCTCTTACCTCCTATCCTGAACAGCTGTTACATACTCCCAAGGGCTGCCTATAGGAAGAATTCAGAAAAAGTCTCAAACTTGTCTTCAGATGCATACTATGACTCCTTGCTGGGTCCACCAGCAAACCCCAAACCCACTGCACATACACATGAAAGGTCCTTTGTCAGACAAATTCTTTTCCTTCCTCCTTTCACATCAAAATTAATGAGGGAAGAAACAGGTTTAAGTAAAATGCACTATAAAAAAATTTTTTTAAAGATCAAGTAGAAAGAAGGGGAGAACATACCTATGCAAAATGTAAAGGGCTACATTGTCCCAAGAACCAGGACTCCCCATCGTGGCTAACCCCACTTCATACATGATTATGAGCTGTATGTGAACTCACATGTGTCCCATGCCCACCTTTGTATGACTCCCAGCTCCTCTGATACCTATCTTCACAGTGCAATATAGGACAATGGGACAGAGGTCTTCACCTTCCTGATGTAATTTCAGTTCCATTCAGCTCTCAAATCCCAGAAATCCTGAGTGAAACATGGCTTGCCAGGTACTGATTTGTCTCCACTTTTTTGCCTCTCACTGCCCAAGCAACACAGAAATTCAAACACAGTGTACGCTGATTCAGTTGCTAATGATAAAAAAAAAAAATTGCAAACATGAATAATTTTGATACAATTCATTCTAAAGATACTACACATATTATAATCTGCCCTGACTAGCCCTTGCTGTAAATGACTAAGGCCTAACTCAGACCCTTTGAAGAGAGTCCTTCTCCTGAGAAAGACAGAAGAAATACTCATGGTGGTGTCAGTGGGTGTCTGAAGTGTCACCTTCATACTCAGAAAGCAATAAAGTAGAATCTGATTAACATTCTGGACAACTAACTAACAAATACATTTCACTTTACTACCAGTCTTTCCTAAAAGCAGCAATAATGCAAAAGAAATAAATTGTCTTTCTTTGCATAAAACATTAATTTCTCTAACCTTTTATAATTTTCTTGTTATTTCTGTCACTTTTGATATGTTTCCACCTTCAAATATTCATTAAATGTGAACATTATAGGACACACAGAATAATCAAAGAGCTTCTTATTCTTCCAGTTGAGGGATATTTAGTGATGTGATAAATCAGTTTAACCAAGATATCAAACATCAAGCAGATTGTCAGAAAAAAAGAACAAGCTGTTATACAAGTCATATACATTTTAATTTTGTAACTTCCAATTACCTGCTCAGACAGCTTCTCCCTTTATTGCCATTCAAAGTCCATTAATTAAAAGTCACCCATTTAAGAACAATGCCTGAAGAAAAAAAATCCAATTTCAGCCCATAGCCACATATTTGTTTAGAAGGATGAATGACTGAAGTGGAAAAGCCCACCCAGCATCCAGTCGCACACATACCATGAATGGCTCTAAAGTGCCTTTCGGGTGAGCAAACAAATCGTGTAATTCTATCATGTGCTGATTCAAAAATAAATGCTGGCAGACTCAGTAGGCTCTGTCTGGGTCTGGAGGGTGTCTAGTTTCTAGCACCAGGGAGAATTAACAGGTTTGTAGTCATTTCCATGCTAGTCTGTAGAAACAACTATAGAAGTCTATGGAAGGTATTCATTAAGATTGAAAATGGGGGAAACAGCTTCTCTTGGATGAATGAAAATATGTCGTTTAGCTGGTTGGTGAGCCTTGCTCACAGGTTCTGAGCTAATTCAGTCTTCAGATTTGATGTCAGAAGAATATTCCCCCAAGCTCCAGACTGGCTGTGCTTGCCGGAAGGCCCTTCATTCTCCATAGGATAATCTAGGAGGTTTTTTAACATGTCCCAACTCAGCACAGGATTTTGGGGTTTGATGAGGGTCTTGGTCTCTCCTGCTCTCTTTCTGAGACACACTTTGTGAAGCTTGGTCATTTCCTACAGGGCTAGGTCTGCACTGACGTTGAAAGTGGCAACGCAGTCAAAGCATCTATTCATGTTTCAGGCTGGGTGTCATGTTTTGAACATAGAAGACAATAATTTAATTTTACTACAGTTTGTGTTCTACGTCTTCTGTAGGACTTTAGTTTTCATGGTGGTCACCTTGAAGTCTACAAATTTTATTGCATATGTATATTCATGCATACATACAGAATCAATCAGAATGAAAAATATACACAGTTAATGTGACTAAAGAATGCTGGAAATAGGTCCAAACAAATGCCAACACTTCATCAAGCAAAGCAAGACTGGGAGAAAATCCAGAGATACCATTTGTTTGCCTGGTTAAGCTGTATTGTTATGCTGTGTCCTCCTTCAGTACACCCCCACTTTTTGTACTAATCTTCCCTACATCTGCTGCCAGCTAGGCCAAGCTCAAACAGCAGTGTCAATTCAAGGGTCAGAGAGGTCAACGGTGACACCCGATTTAAGTGTTATTCACTCTGATGCTGTGACAAGACAGATACAGCATGGCCTGACTAAAGTGATGTGTGTTAAATTTGTTGCAAATTACTGGCATGATGGATCTATTGATGACCCATTCTAGCTGTCAGGATGTCTCTATCAGTCTCTCAGTTACGCTTTCTCCTGATGCTCAACCCTATCCCCCTCTGCTCCCATCAAACACAGGGTTGCTTCACAGTCCCTGAGAAACTCCAGGTGCAAAGCACAGGGAAACAAAGCATTAGCATCTGCTGTGAACCTGAGGAACATTGGAAGTCATCTCATGAGGGATAAAAGTTTGGTGATTTATAGATTTGTGTCACTGTGCAAGTTTGCATTATCTGGACCACCTATAAAAAAGATTTGTTAATAATAGCACTTCAAGATAATTCCTATCTTCATCCAAAATGTTGGAAACGCAATTATTTGAGCTCTTGCTTGAAGAACCTCACTCATCTGATAAATGCTCAGAACCAACACAGTTAGCTTTT